GACTATTCCGAGGGCCCCTAACTGACAGATTCCCCCCAACAGCCCAGCGTCCATGTTTACCTTATTCTTCTACGACAGCTGTGATCTAACAGCAGACCTCTGCTGCCCTTGAATTGTTAACGCTCTGTACTTCTACAGCACTCCTCTAGTTTGGACGACCACTCACTGTGGAGCGCTTGACAACTCATTCCATTCACCAAGTTTCTCATTCTGATCCATGTGGTCAAACCGCGGTCTAACAACTCCTTCCTGATTTCCAGTCGGTTCCAAGTGTGTGTCTGTCATAATGTCCTGTTGTTATTATATTTTTTGGTCCAAATGATGTTTCACTTTTATTTGCTCTCAGCCCATAATCCTCTGAAGGGAACTTCTTAATGTTGGTTTAATTATCACAGCTGTGACCCTAATCTGAGGCTGAAACAAACACATCAAAGATGAATGATTTTACTGAGCAAATATTTGCTCATTATAAAGGCATTTATTGATTAATATCACTATAGTGTTGACATTTTCAACCCAATGATGTTCTGACTGTAACGACCGACGTTCAAGTGTTGGTTCATCTTCACTCTTATTGGTTGACTGTCAGCTAATCACCGCTGACAGAAGGCATTTTTGCCTGAAGGATATTCTGATTTTCCTTTCCCCACATACCCTGAAGAATTTTAATTTCACACATAATTATTTACAAAATGTGCGGCTGTAAACACAGATTTTGTGTGTCTTTCACTTCTCTGCCAGATGGAATGCCAGACTGAGCTGGCAAGACCTGCAACATCTCCCACTGGCTGCTGCAGCGTGAGCTCTCCATGAGGAGGTGAGCAAGAAAAGGGTGAATGAGAGATGGAGGAACAGAACAGAAGGACTCATCAAGGAGCTCTTCACTTTTGGAGAGCATTCATTTGCGGCGCCTCCCTGCTGTGAACTCAGTGTCAGTTTCTTCCCTCCTCTCCATCTTTTATGGCCTAAATCAAACTTGTAGCTCCAGCTTCTGCTCACATCCCTCTCCCTGACCTCCAGTTTTCTCTGCTGTCTGCCTTTCCTCTAACTGTCAGCATGTGAGGCGTTCATGTTGAATCCTTAAATGTTTCTTTATCATCCAAACTTAGTGGAACCTCCAATGAAATTAATGAACTTATTTGTCTTTTGCATTACCACCACCTGCTGGACAATAATAGCAGAGGCTGTTGGTGCTTTACATTTTGCCAGTGCCACAGTCTTTGATTACGGCCTGCAGGAAACTGCGGGACAGTTTTGCAAACAACAACATGGAAGCAGTGAAACAGTGACAGCTGTCGTCTGAGATCTTCCTCTGACACCAAGAGACTCTTCACACCAGACTGCCCTCCACAAAATACCACTTATTTACTTACTTATGCAGTGCACTCGGTGGGAGCTTGTTTGTCTTTTCCATCTGGCCGTAACAGGAAGTTTTGGCCTCAGGGATGTCGCCATATTCCACCAACATGGCTGCCGCCGCTGACGTTATGATCCCGAGCCCGTCACGGACCCGCGCCTCCAGGGGGTAGTCCCAGTCGTCGTACGACACTGAAATCATTCCTGATGGGAACTCTTCAGGCGTCACCTCTGGGTTCCCGGTGGTGAGTGACGGCACTATCCAGATGTACCCGAATCCTGTGAGGCCCAGAGAACGAGCCTCCTCCAGGATCAAGATGGCCTCGTCCTTGGAACAGTAGAGCAGGATGACAGGGGACTGCAATTTCTTCAGCATGATCTGAGAGCGACTGTCCTCCTCCACCGCATCCAGGGTGATGATGTTCTGCAGATCCCAACCAACAAAACTGGAGCAGAGACAGAAAGGACAAGAGTGAAGTGTTAACACTGCACTGACCGACCATCAGGTCCTGACAAGGGCACGTAATTATCCATTATAATTAATATCAACGTTAAGTGCAACATGAATACTAATGGGTTCTTACCATTAGGGAAAACAAATTAAAACCAATTGCTATGCAAATGTAGAAGATTAAGCTCTATAATAAAACGTAGCAGGTCAAAAAGGAAAAAAAAAAAACAAAAAAACCAAACAAACACCAGCCTAATTTAAAAGGGTCAAGTGCTGTGGTCAGACGGCAGCTTTTAGATAAACATGACATCATCGTGTGCATACATTTTTCTTAATTTGCACAACATAAATATATATAAAACGTGTTTGTCTATATTTTTAAATGTATCATTGTCTTGAACAACAGGGAAGAAATAAAGATTTTTGAGCCAGTGTTGTAGCCAATTTGTTAAAGCGAGCACAGTGAGAGGTAACAAGTGCTCATTAAAACATAAAGCACTTTGTTGAGGATCTTTTTCATCCAGTGGGACTGACAACATCCAGAGCGATAACATCCAGCAGCAGCAGCAGGTAATAAACAAGGACACAGAGCAACAGAGGCGGAGAGAACGCTCTAATGTTAGCAATTAAAGAGCATCATACGTCATAAACTCTAATGCACTGCGCTGGGAAGGAACCTTTAAAGCTACCAGGACAAAAATGGGTCAAAGGCAGTGAGAACAATCAAGGATTCCATCTTCAGAGCAACCATTAATTATTACTATTGAAAAAAAAAAGTAGGAGCAAGAATTAAATAAACAGGGACAGTGATAGAGAGAAAGACACCGTAATAGATCATTACATTTTTCTCATTATGAAAATAACATCTTTCCACCAAATCTGGAGTTCAGTTCCTGCTGTGTAGAATCAAACCTGTCTGTATTTGTAGTTGAGGCAAGAAAAGATAAATTCAGAAAAAAAAAATAGATAAATTACACTTGTAACACATACAGTAGCTATTCCCTTACACTACATTGCTCTTAGTAATGCCTAATCTAGCTTTATATATGAAAGAAAGAAAGAAAGAAAGAAGAGGTTTTAACACACTGCCCTGTTTGACATGAAGAGTGACTGCTCATAAAAAAAGACCTGCCTCCTCCTCCCTCTCCACTCAGCTTATTTATATACATCACAAGTGCAGTCAGAAGCCCTGCCAACATCTTAACATGGCAGTGTATGTATCATTTATTTGACAGTTTTTGGCCAAACGTTACAGCTAGCTGTTCTCTCCAGTAAGTTTTATCGTCTCATTCTGTCAGAGAACTGAAGCATCGGTCAAAATGACCGAACGCTGCAGAGTGTGTGGTAAAGTCACCTACAGTATCATCTGCATTTCAATTCTAGTACGCTGATGAAATCCCTTCAGGCGCCCCCCGTCTTTGAGTTAGAGATCGCAGGAGCAGATTAGAGCAGAAAAATATAAGGTTAAAACAAAACACTTAGTGCAGTAACTCTGGTGAAAAAAAAAAGTACAGTTGCAGTACTCTGGGGAAATTTGCAGCAATCTGTGGAAGATAAAAAGGAAAGAGACGCCTGAGGTTGAGTGTCCTCGGTAAAACTGCCTTCCAAACAAACAAATTGTTCTTGTTATCCTCAACGACACTACCTGGAAATTGTTGGGTTCAGAGAGTGATCGTTACTCCTTCGCATTGAAGAGTTTCTCTCTTATAAATTTAATGCCTTCAGACTGTTTCCATCTCACTTCCCTCCTTGAAATGTATTGTCTCGATCACAGCCGCTCTGAGACGAATACCCAACTTCAGATACTCTGGAGGTTTTGCCGAGCTCGTTGTGTAAATGTCTGCAAAAGTAACTCCCAGAATCCTCCAGAGATCCTCCCTCCAGTTCTCAAACACACTAAAGTCAACGCCGCTGAAGTGAGTTGTTGTGAGAGAGCAGCGGAAGAAAAACCCGTGGTTACTCAGTGTCCTGCTCCCAGCATGCTCTCTGAGCTGCTCGGGATTCTCTGCCACAAACACCTACATCTACCTGCTGTTGTCTGTTGATTTATCTTGTTATAAATGATTAATCCTGATTAATTATGATGCACAGCTGCGCTGAGACTAATCAGATTACAGATTTGAATCCTTCAACAGACTGAGGACATGGTGATGGACTTTTACCTGTTGTCCACCGTCGTTTTCAAGATGTTGATGAACTCCTGGTAGCCCGGGAACTTGGAAGTCACTATGGAGAAGATGTGCCAGTCGTACTCCTCCATAATGTTCAACATCAACAGCGCCTCCTGCTGGATGGAAGCACCAAACTGGAAGAACGTTGACTTCACATCCTGCATGACAAGGAAAGAGAAGATTTAGGTTAAGCGAACAGCTACCTAAAGAAGAAGTTGCAGAAGTGGGGGGGCAGGCCCCCTCCGGTGGCCATGAATATATTGCAGCACAAGGTATTTTGTGTGCTAAGGGGGAACATGCAAATCTTTGTTCATTGAAAATATAGTTGACAATGCAATGTTTCTGATAAAGTTCAGTGAAGATTTAAAGCCAGCGCTCAGTTATGGAATAGTGTTATTCACAAAAGGGGGCGCTGCAGAAAAAGTTTGGGACCCACTGATAGCAACACATTGAAACACAAACACAAATTGATGAAAAAAAAAGACACTTTCTCCTGCATGCCTGCCAAGCACGCACCAACACACACACATTAACATAAACACTGTAAATCAAGAGGAATATGCTTCTTGTCGGGAAGTATACGGATGAAGGGCCCGGAACAATTCAATTAAGTCTAAATTGGATTGGTGCAGCACAGGCAGACTGCAGAACTCTGCAGGTCCGGTTCTGGTTGAAGCAGGATAACATTTGTTCTACAGTTACTTGTGTTCACTCCATTAAACCAGGCTGAGAATCATTTGCCACTTAATTCAGCCAAACGGCTTGGACAGAGCAGCGGAGTGTTATTACAGGTGGACAGATCAACTCTTTCCATTTGTGTTGGATAATTTGTTCCAAACGACTGTGATACCGACGTGGGTTATTGAATGAGCACAGATGAGGTAACGGCGAGGGATAACAAAGTGTTAAACAGCACTTGACGGAAGGTCACAAATGCTTGACCTCTCCATTGAGGTTTATTGCGTTAAGTGCCGCGCGTGCCTTTGTTTTACTAATGTCAGTCACATATGGCTCCACTTGACACCACTTGTTGTCTAAGCTCGAATAATGACGGTCAAAAGTGGTGTGATTGCATACCTGTGTTTGCAGTCAGGGTGTGTGTGTGTGTGTGTGTAATATATAAGAACCAGAAACAGCTACACACTGTGCTGAGTAATCAAAGTGTAGCCCAAAATATTTCTGCTGTTGTACGGACATTTGTTTTGAGTGAGAGATCAGCAGGTGAACAGTGGAAAGTTAAATATAATATTTCCTTTCACTAAATCAGTCAGGAAACATTGAGCTCTCTCAGTACCACCATGATGACCAACATTAGAACAACATTAGAATACAGCAGCAGAGGCCTTCACTGTTAGCTTCCACCACAGGAGAGATGTTTCAGATTTATTCAACTGAAAAATGTAAATGTGAAAATATGAATCTTTCCCACGGACCACTGGTGGTACACGTACCACAGTTTGAGAACTACTGATCTATGTGACAGCGACAGGAAGAACAATGTAATACTGTTCCACTAGGTGGTAGCAGATGACCATACAAACTTAAATAGAGAAATCTTTCTCTGCATTTTTCTTCCATTCCTGTAGAAAAAACATGGCTGTGTTCAACTAAACAGGCCCAGATTTAAACAAACTTCTATTTAGTATAAAATGCATCAAGGTTCAAAAAATGTTTGGAAACACTGTGTTAGGATGATGAAAAAGGAACAGGTCAGGATGTAGAACACGTTAGTACTTGATCTGTATCATGGTGCCGTGTGCCACTGCATAGTGACATAAATGGTCTAGTGTTTTGCTTTTATTCCACAATGTTCATAGCCTTGGAATAACACAGGTCTCCACTGGGTCGTAGTATTTGTCTGTGTGTGTGTGTGTGGGTGTGTGCGTCGTTCTCTATATCCTGACCCTTGAGTGCTTTTTAATGGCATTGTGGCTGTATGTAAGAATGGTTGATCTGACACAAATTTGGCTCACGCTGCACACTGTTGTTTGTGTGTGTGTGTGTGTGTGTGTGTGTGTCAGTGGGGTAGAAAACGCAGCGATTCTTGAGCATGGTGGGACAGTAGGCAGGCCATGCTATAAGACATGTCACTTTCTGTCTTCATCACAGCGGCAGCCCCGTAATCCCACTCCTGCTCCGGCATGAAGACCAGCTCAGCACTGAGCCAGTGAAAGGCATCTACAGTCACGGAATACAGCTAGTAATCCACACATACTAAACTACAGTATATACAGTAGCATGTGTAACAATGTACTGTTGATATACAAATATACAGTACTGTGTTTAAAGCAATGTGTCCACCTCATAATGAAGACATCCTGTCTGTTTGGGTTATGAATACGTGGAGAGCTTACTCAGTGACATCCAAAGTGTGGGGCGCGTCTACCAAGTGCACACAGAGCTATTACAGAATGAACACAAGGAGTACAATTATTTGGAAGTCACAGTCATTTAACCCTGTTTCCATAAAATTAAGAAATGTAAATCTCAAACTTTGCTAATGCCGTTTAGCTCGTTAAAAAAAAAAGACTTGATCAACTCAACAGTCCATTTTCACCATGCTGTGTTTTCCTTTGAATGATTTTCTGGACAAAAAAATATATAGTAATGGGTAAATAGATGTGTGTGTATTGATGTGGACCAGATCTGGAAAACTCAAAGACAAAAAGCAGAAAAGAAAGTAAAGAGAAGTGACGACGGTGCAGTGGAGTGATGGCGACTAAGTGGCGTGAGATTGTTTCTAATTGGGACGACTCACAACCCATGACATCAGAAAACAGCCAATCGTATCCTCTCATTTCACCCTTGTCAAGTGTGACATGTCTCTGCTCCACACTTAACACCTTCAGCTGCTGACGCCCACATTATTTAAACACACACACACACAACGTCATTCACTTGTCATTCACGTGTGCCACTCTCAAACTTCCCACTTGATTATGCATGTACACACACACACACACACACACATACACACACACAGAGGCAGACACACAAACATGTACCTGCCCTGTAGGCCAGGACAGTGTGTCAGTGGAGACAGAGGAGAGCTATAAATAGTAATCCTCATATCCTCTGCTACTGATAACATCATACACTGTCTGGTCAGATGACACACACACACACACACGCGCCAATGCCAAAACTTGCATAATTTCTCATAAAGTGTCCAGGCATGACTTCAGTCTGTTACTGCACCACAGCGACCGCCGCAGAAGGAATACTACCACCAAAACTCCCTGGAGGGAAGTTACTAAATAAAACCTGACAGGTCTAAAAATACCAGCACCGAACGGGAATGTCCGTGGAAACGTAAAGGTCAAGCACACACAGACGACCACATGTACGAGATGCGGCGAAAAGAAAACATGACATGAAAGTATTTATGTTTCTGTACAAAGATGAAATGAAAACAAGTCTGAAGAAAAACTCCAAAGTTAAAGTACTTGGCAATAAAAGCAGGAAACGTGGGGGGATGAGAATAAACTGCAGGCTGTATATTCAAACTGGCTGCGTACCATGGTCGGCACTCTGGCTTCTTTTACACTTTTTTTTTCCTAATAGCTCTATTTTTATGTTATGTTTGAAACAAAGTTGTCAAAAGTATTCTATAGAAAAATGTCATCACTTTGTACCAAATCTCACTGTGCATAAAATGTGAGAATAAAATTAAATACAGGCCTCATTACTGAATTAAACCACTATTAAAACTTGTGTCTGTGTCTGCAAAAATAAAGTATATACTCCTATACTTGCTCTGAATACGTGCCAAACGCAGTATACTTCACATACCAGATATATTTTCAACTGACAAAAACTGACAACAGGAGGAAGAGACGGTGACATCACTTCTAAAGGTGAAAGCAAACTGACAAAAACTGACAACAGGAGGAACAGACGGTGACATCACTTCTAAAGGCCCACGGTTGGCATCAACAGGCCGGAGTCTCTGTGGAAGAATCCCCTGTGATTACATTAAAAAAAGACTTTCATGAGATCATTAAGTATGCTGAACTTTTGAGGAGGAAATTAGCATTTTCTAAGTGGAAGAGAAATGCAAATATGTGCCACAAACCCACAGAGTGAAGCAGTTGGCTCTAAAGAAACTGAAAGGTTTAAAAACTGGAGCTGCATTATCTTAACAGTAACAACAACCGTTGTTTTTATTGACCAAACCTTATCAACATACCAAATCATGACATGACATTTCTACTAAGGCTGTTAAAGTAAAAGCTTTTCTAGTTTTTTTTTTTTTTCTGTGAAGTTCATCTACAACATTTATTTACTTGCCGTTATTTATTATTGCTAATTTGTTCCAGCCAAGTACAAAAAAATAATTTTGTTTCTCATATTTAAGAATGATGATTTATCTCAATTAATCATGATTAATCTACAGCTACTCTGTGATTTACTAAGTCAATTAATTCAAACATTTGACAGACCTAATTATCACTTCTACAGATGAAGAATTTCTCTCATTTTCCTCACCAAGTACAACACATACTTAAAAAAGAAAATGTTATATAAAGGATGTCGAATGACTATGTATATAAATAATAAATAACCATTTTTGCCTCCAAATTTAAAAGGCAAAAACAATGTCCCACTCCCTCTGTGTACCAGCATCCATCATCACCTTGGTGTTTACATAATTTGTTGTTGCTCATCCTTGTGAAGGTCACAGGGATCAGAGCTGCTGTGATTCTGACTCATCAACTTCACTTTCTAATTTAAACATCCAGACAAAAGCCCCTCCCACCACCACCAGCCCCCCCACACACACAAAAAATAAACAACAGCCAAGCAACAGTCTGACACTTTACCACTGAGTGATGCCACAGTTCGTCTCCTTCCATTTAACACACACACATATATATATATATATTTGAACTCTGTCTGGACGTCACATATATACAGTATATATATATATATTTGGACTCTGTCTGGACGTCTTCAGGTTATGTCATCTGATTACACACTGCGAACAACTGCAAACTCAGAGTTCCTCCACGACTAGTCAGTGATTCCTAACCAGGTGCTGTAGTTAACCTACTGAAACCAGTCTGTGTAGTCCAGGTCTTTTCAAAGACAGTGTGGCAGCAGCAGGAGCCCAGTGTGTTCACAGAAAAGCAATATAGAAGTCTAGACACTTCCATTT